AAGGCTGGGCATGATGGTACATGCCTTTAATCCCAGCACTGGAGAGGCAACGGCAGGCAGATCTTGTGAGTTCTAGGCCAGCCTGGTCTTTATAGCAAGTTCCAGGTCAAGAGATACATGGTGAGATGCCGTCTCAAAAAAAAACAAAACAGGATTGGAGAGATGGCTCAGCGGTTAAGAACACTGAATGTTCTTGCAGAAAATCCGGGTTCAGATCCCAGCACCCACATGGCAGCTTGAACAACTGTCCGTAAAACTCCAGTTCTAGGGGCTCCGACAGCCTCTTCTGACCTCCAAGGGCATTGCACGACACTTCCGTACATGCAGGCAATACACGCATACACATAAAATACAAATAACAAATAAAATATTTTTTTAAAAAAAACAAAACAAACAAAAGTTGGAATAGAACTCTTTCTATAGTGGCCCTGCTTCCATAAATCACAGCTACTGCCATAATTTAACCTTTTATTGGTCCTTGAGCAGATTATGACTGACTATTGCACTAGGATGTGTGGAGCAATGGCTGCAGTATTGTCTGACTTCGGTTAGGCTTCTGACCCCAGGGTCCATCCGCCCTGCTCACAGCCCTAGTAAGATTGCCACAGCTCCCGAGTCTTCTTCCACCCTGGGCTACCACCACTGCTACCCAACCTCCACCTGCAGTTTGAATTCTGTGATCTGTAGGATGTGGGAAACAAGTCACCTGAAGCAGAGGAGGATCAGGCTGCCTCTGACAGCCAAGAGTTCACAGGGGTCTGCCCTGTGTTTGCAGACCTGCTGGGCAGGGTGTTGGCTGCAGTTCCCTTGCAGTAGGGAGCATTTATCCTCAAAAGTATGTTCTTTAGGACAGAGTTAAACTGCTCCATATTGAAAAATGTTACTTAAAATGATGCAGTGGCTCTGCCTGTGGAATGATGCCCAAGATAAACTCACACAGAAAAAGTTACAAAAAGAAAGTTGGCCTTTCCCACTTGTGTAGGATGGCTCCTACCTCCCCAGCAGCAATCAAGTTCTGGGCACACAGTGGTGGAGTTGCAGCCCACTGTGCTCCCCCACACTCTACAGCCACGAGAGCCCTTTCAGCTCTTCTGTCCCCAAGCACCCCCTGTTGTCGTCCTTCAGGTCCCTTTTAATGACACCACCTGAGCCCCGTCTCAGCCCAACCTGTGCAGTGCATTCCCCCTCCGCTGCTTGTTCACTGGGCCCCTTCTTCCTAGGACTTCAGAAGCCAGGGCCTGGCATGGCAGCAGCTCCTGCTAACTATTAAGGCTTATAGAACACACGGGAAATGAGATAGCTTTTGAATATTTATTTTTATCTTATGTGCATGAGTGCTTGCCTGCATGTATGTATGTGTGCCACCTCTGTGCTTAGTGCCAGAAGGTGATTCATATCCCCTAATTAATTACATGATGGTTGTGAGCTGTTTGATGCAGTTGTTGGGAATCAAACCTGGTCCTATGCAAGAGCAGCAAGTGCTCCTAACCATTGAGCCATCTCTGCGACCCTAGTCTGACTTTTATAAGATGAAGTGAGAAGTATTGGTGAACCATGTAGATACCGTTTTGATTTTGACTTGCTCTGTACTAGAAACAATGAAGAGGAAGTGTGAGCTGGGAGGGGACACTAGCATGGACACACACACACACACACACACACACACACACACACATGCACGCACGCACACACGCCCCTGTGGTGGTTGAATTTAGCATGTTATGTAAGGCAGGCCTGGTTTGGCATCAGGAGGTTTTTAAGCATTGGCTTGGACTCTGCCCTGTGGCTGAGGGCCAGTTGCCTTAAGCTGAGCCTGCTGAGCTCCGTGAGAGCGCCCCTCCCCCACCTCACCCTCCCCTTGTGGCTCTCCACCAGCCGCCTGGCAGTGGAGAAAGGAAATGGGAACCCTGAACCCAGGAGGTTTCACCAACAAAAAAGACTGTTGAGCAATCAGTGAGCTGACCTGGAAGAATGACACTGCATATTTAAGATTTGGCCTGGACATTGCAGGGAGCATCCTTACGTCCTTTTGGGGCACAGTGTTTGGAGATGGAGTGGGCTTGGGCTGCTGCCTGGCCAGACTAACAGATTCCTTTCCCCGTATTTCTTCCTGATCTTTGTAAATTACCCACAAAAACTCTTTCAGGGCAAACAGTATGCCGTTGTGCCAGAAATGGCTGGGAAGAAGCTGGCAGACCTTTGCTCCTAAGATCTTTAGCCTCTTAGGGGTGGCCCCATCTCCGGTAATGGCTAGTGACACCTGTGGCTAGGTTCTGGCCTAGGAACTGCATTCCTGTTGTCATGCTGAATCCTCATCCAGCCCACAGAGGAATTGGATGGAGCATCTGAGAATTATTTGCCCAGGGTCCTGATGTGGGGAAGAGTCAAGACTCAAGCCTACACCTGCCTCCTCTGAGGTTAGCTTTTTATAACATCTGGAATAAAAGTGCGGTAGAGTGGTGAGCAGAGCAGAAAGCTAGAGATCTGGGGGCTGCAGAGATGACTCAGTGGTTAAAAACACTGCCTGCTTATGTAGAGGACCCAGGTTTGGTTTCCAGCACCCACATGCTGGATAACAATAAGCTGTGACTCTAGTTCCAGGGGATCCACACCCTCTTCTGGCCTCCATGGTCATTGCACACATGTGGTGCACTTATATACACATAGGCAGAATACTCATACACATAAAATTTTTTTAAAAATTATAAAGAAAGGTGGGGATTTGTTTGCTGCTTTTTTGGTGTTGGGGGGACTGATCTTTTTGAAACAGGTTCTTGCTATGTTCAAGGCAATCCTTCTGCCTCAGTCTTTCAAGTGCTGGATCACAAATGTGAGCCACCATGCCCAGCTTAAGGTAACAGTGGGCTATGGTTAGAGGCTGTAGTTGGAAGTGGGCAAAAAACCCAGGCCTTCAAGTCCCAAAGCTTGGGTTCAAATCCTGACTCTGTCACTGCTGTGTGAACTTGAACCCGTGGCTAACTTTCCCTGTGTCTCAGTGGCCTCCTGTGTGAGAGGACAGAATTTACCTTCTAGTAGCACTGGTAAATGATAGCTACTCCAGAGACATGTGGGTCCTGAAGGGCTCCTCTTCTTGTCCTCTGGCCTGCCCCACAGGGTATAGAAGAAGCTGAAGACACCCCCCTCCCTGCCAGTAGGCTGCCCCCCTACAATGTCCTCCACATTAACTGTGTACTCAGTTCCCTCTGCATGAACCAGGAAGAGGAGGAAGAGGGAGGACTGTACCCAGGGCCCCAACTGAGCATGACACAGGTGGCCTACAACCCAGGTCAGAGGTGTGTGAGCTTCGAGCCTAAGCCTCACACCCACATCCTTCACTGGAAGCTACATAGGTATAGGATTAACATGACAAATTAATTAAAGGTGAATATCAATGACTATGAAACCACAGAAGCATAGCCCTGGCAGTCTAGTTAATGTTTATACAGGTGTCTTGGGAGAGGCCAGTGGTGTGTAGCTGTGCACTATGGTAAGAGCAGCATATAGATGGTGCAGAAATTTCAGCCTTCTGCTGGTTCTGACTTGACCGCTCCATCCTACAATTCCTAATCATTACCTGTTATGCTCAGCATGGGCACTTGCCCCATGCCAGGATCTCGCCTGGGCACACTCATGAAGTGGAATTGAAGTGTTCACCACTCTGGAGATAAGGAAGAAGGCTGAGACCACAGAAGGCCCTGACCTGGGGAAAAGCCAGAAATAGCCTACGTCCTGACTCCTGAGCTGAACTGCCTTCCCCTCCCCTGGACAGTGCCTGGACTAGTGTTTGCTGCAGGGATGAAGTGTCTACCTGAGAAGTGTCTACTGCCTTGTGCAGTCATGTAGTAGAATAAAGATGACTGGAAAGTATTTCTTCCTTCTTGAAAGGGGAAGGGGTCAGCTCCCACCCCTACCTGTGACTCTGGTCTGGGCCAGTGACTCAATCTGCAGGCCACTGACCTACAGAACTCAGCAGCAGAAATGAGACCATGTAACCTCTGAAGCAAGTCCTGAGGAAGTGTCTGTTTCCTCTTGGGCCTTGTGGAAGCTGGCTCATACTCCCACCCCCACACACATAGCAAGTTGGACTGGCCTGGGTCTGCCATGCTGTCAGGAAGCCCAAATAGCCATGTGGTGCTGGATAAGTGAGGGAAGAACTCCCCTGCTCATTCTGTGACTAGATGACTCCTGGACTGCAGCCAGACACTGAATCTAACCAATGGGTACAACTCTAAGACATGGTCTTAAACTGCTGAGTTTGGACATGTTAGTTACAAGCAGTAAATAGCTGGCACACTAGGAACATTTTGCAAAGAAACCAACCCACTACAGTCAGGTGACTTGCCCAAGGTCATGTAGCAGGTGGACATTCTATTGTGGATATATCCAGGACCTTGCTTTTTTTGATTGATTGATTGATTGATTGATTGATTGATTGATTGATTGATCTTTTTGAGACAGGGTCTCCCTGTAGCCCTCCCTGTCCTGGAACTCTCTATGTAGACCAGGCTGGCCTTGAACTCACAGAGATCTGCCTGCCTCTGCCTCCTGAGTGCTGGGATTAAAGGTGTGCACCGCCACGCCCGGCTGTTTTGTTTTTTTTTTATTTTTTTCCAGGACGTGCTTTTAACCTCAAGTCTGCAGCCCCCGACACCAATCTATAGGTCTTCATGTTCATTCTGACGTTTCTTTTTTTTTAATATTTTATTTATTATTTTTATTTTATGTGTATGAGTGTATTGCCTGCATGTAGGTAAGTACACCTGTGTCGTGGAATGCCCGCAAAAGATAGATGAGGCCGTCAGATCCCCTGGAACTGGAGTTACAGACAGTTGTTAGCTGCCATGTGGGTGCTGGGATTTGAACCCAGGTCTTATGCAAGAACAGCCAGTGTTCTTAACCGCTGAGCCATCTCTCCATCCCGGACGTTTCTCATTTTTATATCACTGGTGGTCAGTGAGGTTGAAAGCTAATCCTGGAACTTTTTTTCATTCTCATTATAGATCTTCATAAACAATGAATGGCATGATGCTATCAGCAAGAAGACCTTCCCCACCATCAATCCATCTACGGGAGAGGTCATCTGCCAGGTGGCAGAAGGAAGTAAGGTAAGGGCTGCTGTCTCATCTCTGTGCAGAGTGGGCTTTGGTGTCTGTTTGGTGCTTTGTTTTTTTATTCATTTGTTTTTTTTTATTATTTTTATTTTATGTGTATGAGTGTATTGCCTGCATGTGTATAAAACCACCTGTGTTGTACAGTGCCCTCGGAGTCAGAAGAGGACATCGGATCCCCTGGAACTGGAGTTTACCGATGGTTGTTAGCTGCCATGTAGGTGCTGGGAATTGAACCTGGGTTCTATGCAAGAGCAGTTGGTGCTCTTAACCACTGAGCCAACTCTCCAGACCTTCATTTGTTTGTTTTTGAGAGTGGGTCTCACTGTGTAGCCCTGGCTAGCTCAGAACTCACTATGTAGACCAGGCTGGCCTCCAACTCACAAAGACCCACCTGCCTCTGTCTCCCAAGTCCCAGGATTAAATGTTCGTTTGCTTTTGAGACAGGGTCTCCCTCTGTAGCCCAGACTGGCCTGGAACATACTATGTAGACCAGGCTGGACTTGAACTTATGTCAGTCCTTCCAGCTCTGCCTTGTGTAGTATGTGCTATCACACAGGGCACATTTTTTATTTTATGTTTTTATATGATTGAAATTTTACCATGTATGCGTTTTGCTTTCATAACTTAAAGCCATCAGTTAAACATTTGGAGACATGAATCAGCAGGGGGTTGAGTAGTATTTAGGGTCATTGGCTGCTGAGGTCTGAGCTCCCTGGGTGGGTGTTTTACAGGAAGATGTGGACAAGGCAGTGAAGGCTGCTAGGGCTGCCTTCCAGCTTGGCTCCCCCTGGCGCCGCATGAATGCATCTGACAGGGGCCGGCTGCTGTACCGCCTGGCTGATCTCATTGAGCGGGACCGGACCTACCTGGCAGTGAGTCCTTAGCCCTCTTAAACCCTTGCTCCCAAAACCTAAAGGGGTTCATAGCATCCTGAGGACATCCAGGACCCACCCTGGGCCTCTGCCAGCCCTTGTCAGTGTCAATGCCATTGGTCAAATGTTTGCTTCCTTTTGTTTCTGCACCAGCGTGTCTCTGCTGACCTTGATCTCTTGTCAGGCCTTGGAGACCCTGGACAACGGCAAGCCCTATGTTATCTCCTACCTGGTGGATTTGGACATGGTCCTGAAATGTCTTCGGTATGGGTTCCTGTTCTTTGTTCTGGCCGTTGCCAAAAGGGAGTAATGTTGGGAGGTAAAATTAGAATTAGAAGAATGTAGAAGGCTTGCTGAGACTGGAACGCTGTCCATTTAGAAGCACATCTTGTGAGAAAAATCCCTCTGTATCAACAATTAGAACGTAGTCCTAAGAGCTTTCTCCTTTATCTTGAGTTATGTTTGGTAATTTATGTGTAACCTTGGAATTGGCCATGTTATGTAGGGCATCTGATTTGTTGGTCTTTGTTCACTCTTATGGTCTATTCTATACTGAAGGGTTGGTAGTAATGTCTCCGTGTCCATTTTTTATTTTAGTTACGTCTTCTCTGTTTCATAGTCCAGCTAAAAGCTCCAGGATTGTTTTGCTGATTCTCTGTTGTTTTTCTGTTTCCCTCCTTTTGCTACTTTGAGTTTAGTTTAATTATAAACATCTTAATCACCAAGGAGTCAGAGCTTATTTGAACTCTTGGGGTTTCAGGTAACAAAAATTCACTCAGCCCAATGTAGACAATACTGAAAAGGCCTATTTACTCCCTCTCCCTTGTTTCCTGCTCTTGCCACATGTGGTGTCTTTGGGGCCAGCCTTTGTGCTGTAATCCCTCAGACCTGATGCCAGCATCCTGGGGGAGGGTCCATGACTGCCTTGCTTTGAGTCTGACCAGTTGGGGACAGACTACTGTGCAGACAGTTGCTGCTCCCTGGGACACATGGATGGAGATGGTGGGGAGGACGCAGTACCAGAAAGGCAGAAGTTATCCATCACATCGGGGGTGCTAACCAAAGGCTGTGTTTCCCAGGAGTAGTGAGAAGCTCCAGGAACATTTTCTGTCACAATTGCAGGAGAAGGTGCTGCTGGTATTTGGTAGAAAGAGAAGCCTGTGTCACTGCTAAAAATCTCAAGCCCCTACAATGAATTTTCCAATCTGAAATGTCAGTAGAACTGAGGGAGAGAAACTGAGGGAGTCTGGTCAACTATGGTTTAGGCTAACCTTGACAGACCCCACTCACTTTAGGAATCTTCCTTTTACAACCCTCCATGCTTTCTCCTTCCCCCATCTTTCCCATTCCCTACTTCCTTGAAGCCATCACACACCATGAATACACGCTGACATCCCCAGCTCTAAGGTGCTGTGCTTTTCCAGCACCTGTGTCCCTGTAGTCTAGATACCACTTCAGCCCAGTGGGGCTGGCTGGGGATTTCTGTCTTCCTATGGCCCAAGTTTAAGAAGTGCCATTTGGGGCTGGAGAGATGACTCAGCAGTTAAGAGCACTGACTGCTCTTGCAGAGGACCCAAGTTCGATTCCCAGCACCACATAGCTGCTATGAACTGTCCTTAACTCCAGTTCCAGGGGAATCTGAAGCCCTCTTCTGACCTCTGTGGCATTGCATGACACGGGTGCACTCACATATACGCAGGCACTCATACAGTCATACACATAAAAATAATATATAAAATATTATATAAAAAAAAAGGAAATGCTGGAGAGATGGCTCGGCAGTTAAGAGCACTGGCTGCTCTTGCACAGTACCCAGGTTCAGTTCCCAGCACCCACATGGCAGGTAACAACCATCCTAACTCCAGTTTCAGGGGATTTGACAGCCTCTTCTGACCTCTGCGGGCATTGCACGACACAAGTGCACTTACATACATGCAGGCAATACACTCACATAAAATAAAAATAATAAAAGCTGGGGCTGGAGAGATGGCTCAGCAGTTAAGAACACTGGTTGTCCTTGCAGAAGACCTGGGTTCGAATCCCAGAACCCTCATGGTAGCTAACAGTTGTCCCTAACTCCAGTTTCAGGGGATCCAGCAGCCTCTTCTGTCCTCTACAGGCATTGCATGACATGGGTGCACTTACCTACATGCAGGCAATACACAGGTCCTAGTTTGTTTCTTCATTGCTGTGACAAAATACTCTGACCACTACCAACTTGGGGAGGAAAGGGTTTATTTAGCTTATATATCCTGGGTCACAGTTCATGTGGGAGCCCAAGGTAGGAACTCAGGGCAGAAACCTGGAGGCAGGACCTGGAGCACAGGCCATGGAGGAATGCTGCTTACTGGTTTGTTCACCTGGCCCCTGCTCAGCCCGCTTTCTTATGCAACACAGGCTCACCTGCCCAGGGGTGGCACCACCTACAGTGGGCTGGGCCCTCCTACATCAGTCATCAAGAAGATGACCCTCAGACATGGCCACAGGCCAGTCCAATAGAGGCAATTCCCCAATTGAGGCTCCCTCAACCCAGGTGTGTCAAGTTGACACTAAAGCTATCCAGCATACACGCATACACATAAAATAAAAATAATAAATAAAATTTTTAAAAAATAATAAAAGCTGGGTATGGTGGTCCACACATTTAATCCCAGCACTCAGGAGGCAGAAGCAGGCAGATCTCTGTGAGTTCAAGGTCAGCCTGGTCTACATAGAGTTCCAGGCCAGCTGGGGCTACAGGGAGACACTGTGTGAAGACCCCCCAAAAAGAAAAGACGTGCCATTTGATGGGTCTGCCCTTTTCAACTAGGTTTGACTCATGTTCCTTCGGTGTTGATGTGCAGTGGTAGACTGGCACAACAGTCACATTTTAATCACTCAGGGTGCTTATTAAAGGTCTGTCCCTAGAGAGCTGGCCTGAGTGAGTGGGAAGCAGTCCTTGGGCTTGGTGCTTGTCTTCAACACCACAGATAATTCTGAGGCTTCAAAGTTTATGTGGAGTGGGTCACTCTATCCTGGTGGTCATCCAAGTCTTTGGGAATAAGCCAGATGCCAGGCTGATTATCGGAGAGAGTCAGGGCCCAAGTCTCCTTTCTGCTGGATGTTACAGGTTAGATATTGACTAACATTGGACCTTTTCTCTTTTAGTTATTATGCTGGCTGGGCTGATAAGTACCATGGGAAAACTATTCCTATCGAGGGTGACTTCTTCAGCTACACTCGCCACGAGCCTGTGGGGGTGTGCGGGCAGATCATTCCGGTGTGTGCCAGCCCCTCTAGAAGGCATCAGGAGGGTGGGGAGTGAGACTCAGGCTCATTAGAAGGTTGCTGTGTAATGGCTGAGAACATGGGCTTTGGCAGGAGCTCGTGGGATGGATCAAGCCTGAGCCTAGCAGTCACTAAATCCCTTGACCTCAGTTCTTCATCTGGAAAGTGGAAATTTTGTGCACACTTAGGGAAGTAATAACAGATTTGCATGGTACTTAGTACCCAAGGCACTAATAATTCTGAATCACTGTCACCATCACCCACCTGCCTTAACCATCGTCTTAAACCCATGATTGAGTTGTAGGGAGACCACCCATGGGGGGCAGGGGAGGCTTCCTGCCATCTGGTATGGCTATCTGAGGGGGATTTGGGGTTGGTGTGGCTGTCATTTCATACAGTGGAACTTCCCACTCCTGATGCAAGCATGGAAACTGGGTCCAGCCTTGGCAACCGGAAACGTGGTTGTGATGAAGGTCGCCGAGCAGACACCTCTCACCGCCCTCTACGTGGCCAACTTGATCAAAGAGGTATGTGGCTTGCTTCTGCTGTGACCTCTAAATGTCCTTCATGGGCTTGCTCTGAGGAAAAGCCTTGGACATCTCAATTGGGGTTGCAGACCTCCATGATCACCATCCCAAAACCAGAAGTTTCCTTGCTGTTTTCCACGTGGGGTCCCTGGCAGGACTCTCTTGGAAGGATGAAAGCCATTGCTTAAGAGAGTTGAGAATTCTGCAGGGAATCCTACAGTCAAGCTCCTCATCTCCACCATTTAGAACTCTGTGTGGTCCCTACAGAGTGGCTTTTGTTCACATGTCCCTAGCACATTATATGGGTGGGAATGGGGTATATTTTCCTTGTCCAGGCCTTGGGAGCAAGAGGATGACTCCTGGGCATCCTCACTTTATCCTCCAGGCTGGCTTCCCCCCTGGCGTGGTCAATATTGTTCCCGGATTCGGCCCCACTGCTGGAGCTGCCATCGCTTCCCACATGGATGTGGATAAAGTGGCATTCACAGGCTCCACCGAGGTAAGGCATCTCAAGACCCCAGATTTGCAGTGTGGTGGGCTCAGGCTCCCCTTCTCAGAAGCTGCTCCTTGAGGAGTGTCAGGCTCTGCCGTAGAACATGTCTCCCAGTTGCCTAAGTCACAGTCACCCATGCTACAGGGTGGGGCAGGGCTGGGCCCTCTGTGGTCTTCTGACCTCTGTAGCTGCTATTGGGAGGGGCCAGCAGAGTTGGAAGTGCCAGCACTGCCAATGTGGGCTTCAGAAAAACCTAAGTGCAGGTTCTGGCCTTGTCATTGTCACCCAGGGGACCCTCAAATTGTCTGAGAAGCTCTGCTCATTTTCTTTAAAACCAGGGTAGTACTGTGTGTGGCAGCACACAGGAGGTGGAGGCAGGAGGATCAGGAGCTCAAGGTTATTCTCAGCTACATCATGAGTTCAAGACCAGCATGGCTATATCTGACTCTGTCTTACTTAAAAAGTCAAAACGGAGCTGGAGAGATGGCTTACCGGTTAAGAGCACTGACTGCTCTTGCAGAGGACCCAGGTTCGATTCCCAGCACCCACATGGCGGCTACAAATCATCCTTAACTCCAGTTCCAGGGGAATCCAAAGCCCTTTTCTGATCTCCATGGCATTGCATGGCATGGGTGCACTCAAAGTCAAAACAGCAACAATATCCCAAACCAGAATGCAATGTCTGTGCAGCTGGGACACCATGGGCATTCTAGTGAGGAGGGAAAGGAGGGACACCATCCATGATCTATGCAGCTGGTGCAGCATGGGCAGTCTAGCGAGGAAAGGGTTTCAGAGTCATGCCACTGTGTGTCCTTGGCATGTTACTTTTCTTGTAACCACATATCTGACAAAAAAGCAGCTTAGGAAGGACTTATTTTGGCTAAAAGAGTATATCATGGTGGGAAAGGCATGGCAACAGGAGTTTGAGGCTGCTTACATCTACGCAGATCAGAAAAGTAGACAGGACAGGAAATGGGGCCTGACTGTATCCCTCAAGCATCCGCCCCCACCCCCCCAGTGACCCACTTCTTCCATCTAGTCCTACTTCCTAAGTGTTCTACAACCTCTCAGAACAATGCCACCAGCTGGGGACTAAGTGTTCAAACACATGAGCCAGTGGGGGACATTTCACACTCAAACCTTAACACTGGTAAGACCATTTCCTTGAACTGCATTCCCCATGTGTACAGTGAGGGGAGACCCATACCCAGTCACAGTGTCGGAGCCAGGGTGGGTGAGATAAAGCTATGACTCCTTAGCCCAGAGCAAGTGCTCAATTGGTGAATGAAAGAGCAAGTGAATGAATGGATTGGGTTGTTACTGGGCTGCTCTGTGCCAGATACCAGAGAGACACAGACACATGGAGATAGCTAGTGACTCCTCAAGCATGACTCCTTGAAAGCAGGGACAGGTTCCTTCCAAAGGGGAGATCTCAAGCTTCTAAAAGGGGACACTAATTAGTATAACACATTCTCTTCAAACAGCTGCACCTGCCAGGCCCATCCACACTCAGCTTTCCCACAGCAGTGTGGCTGTAGGAGGACAGAGCAGTGCTCATGGAAAAGTGTTTGAGATCCTTTGCTTGGTCACCACCCAACTTAATGCTAAAAGGCAATGTTGAGTCTCATAGAATGGTCTCCTGGTGGAGATGTGTGTTTACTCAGGAATTGAGTATGGGGCTGGCTTTGTCTCAGGCTCTAGGAGTATAAGGATGAGAAGCACTCGTCCTCACCCTCTCAGAGCACACAGTGCACAGAGAAACACTCAGATACCCTGCCTAGGAAGGAGGCCACCTTGTAGTCTGAGCCTGAGTATGAATTCTGCCTCCATACTGACAACTGGATGACTGTGGGCATGAGGCTTGACTTCTGCTCCCTTGTGTCTAAGTCAAGGGGAAGAGTTATACCAGCCTCTGAGGGTGTCACAAGGCCTGGCTTCAAGGCATAGCACCTGGCCCAGGGCCACTGTTGGTGTTAGTTATATCGTCATTGTTGTCTTGGAGCTTTGGCTGGGGCAGTGATGGGAGGTGAACTCTCCAGGTCTCTTGGGATTCAGTGAATCCCTGGAGTCAGGGTCCTCAGTTCTGTGTGAATACTTAGCTTTCCTCCCTGCTCTGAGAGCAGTCCATGTGCCTACGTCCCCACAGGTTGGCCACCTAATCCAGAATGCTGCAGGCAGCAGCAACCTCAAGAGAGTAACCCTGGAGCTGGGGGGAAAGAGCCCCAACATCATCCTGTCAGATGCTGATAGTAAGTTACGAGGGCTGCAGGGAAGGCCTCAGTCTCCAACAGGATTGGTTTTGGGGCCTGTCTCAGTCCTTCTTGCTCCCTCAGTATAGCTGGCCTGAGCCCCATATTGCCTACCCACAGGCCACTAGGCCACCATACCTCAGTCTTTCTGCTCCTGCCCAGTTGCCATGCTCCATAGAGGGAAAATGGTTCTGTCTTGTTCTGGCCAGGCTCTGGAACCCAGCGGGCACCATCCCTAATGGTATGAATATGTGGTGTGGTTGGGCAGTGCTAGGGTTAACAGCCTCTTATGTTGCCTCTCTGCCCCCCACCTCTCCTCCCCACAGTGGACTGGGCTGTGGAACAGGCCCACTTCGCCCTGTTCTTCAACCAGGGCCAGTGCTGTTGTGCCGGCTCCCGGACCTTTGTGCATGAGGATGTATACGAAGAGTTTGTGGAGCGCAGTGTTGTCCGAGCCAAGTCTCGGGTGGTCGGGAACCCCTTTGACAGCCGGACGGAGCAGGGGCCCCAGGTAAGCCTTGTAGCTACAGGTGGGCCTGGGCAGAAGGGCACTGGCTCGGACTTGGTAGGGCTGGGTTCCCAGTACCAGCTGTGTGCCCTGCTGGGGAAAGTATGAGACCCCAGCTGCTGCCTGCATTTTGGAGGGCTCATGGACCTTGGTAGGAGAGCTACCCCAAGCTCCTGGATTCTCATCTTTGCTCATCTCATAGTTTAAAAAGAAAAACAAGCCGGGTGTGGTGGCGTAAGCCTTTAGTCCCAGCACGTGGGAGGCAGAGGCAGGCAGATCTTTGTGAGTTCAAGGCCAGCCTGGTCTATGTAGTGAGTTCAGGTCAGCTGGGACTACAGGGAGACCCTGTCTCAAAAAGAAAAAGAAAAACAATAGGTTTGATTTGTGTTTCTCTGATGGCACATGATGACTTTGCTTGGGTGTTATGCTCTGACTCTTGGCGTTTCCTCTTCTCTTCTTCCTCATTCAAGTCCTTCTCCCATGTCCCAGCTACCTCTGGCTATAGAGGCAGCCCAAAGCCAAAGAGAAGCCTGGGTCTAGCATCTCCATCACTCTGGGTTTCTTCTCCCACAGGTGGATGAGACACAGTTCAAGAAGATCCTTGGCTATATCAAGTCGGGAGAACAAGAGGGGGCAAAGCTACTGTGCGGTGGGGGTGCTGCTGCTGACCGTGGCTACTTCATCCAGCCCACCGTGTTTGGAGATGTGCAAGACGGCATGACCATTGCAAAGGAGGAGGTCAGCAGCTGCAGCTTGTGCTCTGGATGCTGTTCTTAGAGGGACTGAGAAGTGGGTGACTTGATCTAGCATCTTGATACTCTGCCCCACCCTCTGGCTTTGGTTGTCTCTTTGCCTAGAACAAGTTATTTACAATGTCTGATAAGTCACTCCTTTCTTCAGTTTGCTAGGGCTTCCTGCCATTTAGGAGAGTGTGAAATTCCCCAGCCTAGCCCACAGGACTTTGTGTTCTATTCCCTGGGAGCCATGAGTCTAGGAATGGGGTCACTTAACCCTTTGCATGGCCTTGACATAAGCAGGACATTGGATGAGACCTGTGAGTGACTCCCCACCTGACATGCTCATGCTGACATCCCACCGGTGTCCACTGTGAACAGAGGCCAGCAATTCTGTCTGAGTGATTCACCTGTTCACTCTAAAGCCAGTGAGGGCCTACTGTTGCTGGGGTCTCCAGAGACCCTGGAGATGTAGGACTGCCCAGGACCTGCCTCTGCCCCTGTGGAATTCAGTCTCCTCCACTTTTACCAGCTGGATTAAACCCCAAGCTGTATGTAGGACAGCATGGTGCCGTCCTTTCACATGCCATCCAGAATAAGACAGTATTAAAGTGAAGAACCGGGGTGAGAAAGCCCAGCAGAATTCTGCCTTTCCAAACCCCATTTCGTCTACTTCGATGGTTTTCTTTAAACTCTCAGGTTCTGATTTTCTGGAAGGGCAGAAGTACCTGTGCTTGCTAGCAGAGGAAGCCTGTGATGGCCTCACTTAATCCCTACCCCAACTAAGGCTCCTAGTATGTCCTCACCAACCCCTTCTGTCCCCTGTCCCGTCCTGGAATCAACCATTTCTTTGAGAAAACCTACTTCTCTCAGTAGGGCCTTGTGTGCTTTTACCAGGACTCCATTTCCCTCCTCAGCCCCTCATCCCTAGCCTGCTTCCCTGTTCTCTGCAGCACAGCTGTCACTTCTACAGTCTTCCCTGACACTGTCCTCCCTAGCTTCCCATTAGGCCCCTCTGGGTTTCAGCTCTTTGTGCATGCTGGTTACATTGTGGTCAGTTGGTCACAGGACGGCCAGTTCCAGCCAGTCCTCCATGGTTGCTGGACAGGCCTGAGAGCAGTGGTGCCCAGCAGCAGCTGCAAGTAGGCCTCAGTTTCTGAATTCTGTCCTCCACAGAAGGAACCAGAGTTCCTTGAAGAAATAGCCCATTCTGGGAATAGGGTGGGGGACGAGCAAGAGAAACCTGGAACTTCTTTAGAGCAGAAACCATTGTCTGTCCACAGTTTAGAATCCTGTCTGCACCTTACACCTAGATTAAATTTGATGGATGATGGGCTTTAAATTCTTTTTTATTTTTCTTATTTATTTATTTATTTATTTATTATTTTTGATCTTTTTGAGACAGGGTCTCCCTGTAGCCCCAGCTGTCCTGGAACTCACTATATAAAAATATTTTTAAAAAAAATTTAGTCAGGTATGGTGGCATACGCCTTTAATCCAAGCATGGGAGGCAAAGGCAAGCGGATCTCTGTGAGACTGAGGCCAGCCTGGTCCATATAGTGAGTTCCAGGCCAGCTGGCGCTTCAGGGAGACCCTAGCTCAAAAAAGACCAAAAAAAAATTATTATTTTTATGTGTATAAGTGTATTGCCTGCATGTGTGTAAGTGCACCAGTGTCATGCAATACCCACAGAGGTCAGAAGAAGGTGTCAGAAGAAGGTGTTAGATTCCCTGAAACTGGAGTTACAGATGGTTGTTAGCCACCAGGTGGGTGCTGGGAATTGAACCCAGGTTCTGTGCAAGAGCAGTGAGTACTCTTAACCACTGAGCCCTCTCTCCAGCCCATAAATTCTTTACATTAACTTTACATGCCACATGAGAGTTGGCTAGCATATCCCATACTCCATAGGACTATTTAGAAATAAGATTTTGTACTTTTGTACTTTTTGCACAAGGCACACAGAAGTAGTCTCTCTGCCAGCCCCCTCCCCTTTATGTTTCATGAGCTAGGAGGCTACCATGGCTCCGGAGCTGCTAGGTTTGGGGGGCTCACCCCATCCTTGCCTCCACCTTTTCAGCTCCAGAGGCAGGGAACAGGCAGGGGCCCTGCCCTCTTACTCTGCCTTCTCCCTCCAGATCTTTGGGCCAGTGATGCAGATCCTGAAGTTCAAGACCATAGAGGAAGTTGTTGGGAGAGCCAACGATTCCAAGTATGGGCTGGCTGCAGCTGTCTTTACAAAGGACTTGGACAAAGCCAATTATCTGTCCCAGGCCCTCCAGGCTGGCACTGTGTGGTAAGAGCTTTCAATAGCCTCTCCTCAACCCAACAGAGTCCCCAAAAGCAGGATATTCTGGAATTCTAGAATTGGACCAGGAAAGGAAGTCCCCTGGTGCAGGCTCTTCAAGCTGGCAACTGGACTCCTTACCTAGATGTGATGAAGACAGGAGCCCAAGCTGAAGGCACATATGATTGCAGTACCGATCTTAAAAGTCTAGGCCAGGTGTGGTGCACACCTTTAATCCCAGCACTTGGAAGGCAAAGGCAGGCAGATCTTTGTGAGTTTGAGGCCAGCCTGGTCTACATAGTGAGTTCCAGGACAGCTGGGGCTACAGGGAGACTCTGTCTCAAAAAAGAAAAAACAGTCTCACAACTCCTTATCACCACTAGGATTGCTATAATGAAAGAAAAAGAAGAAACAAAGAAAAATGTTGTTCAGCTCCAAGCTGTTCTTAAAAAAACTTTTACTCTGGTTGTTCAAGGCCAGTCTGATCTACTTAGAGAGTTCCAGGCCAGCCAGTACTGTGTACTGAGGCCCTGTCTCAAAAAAAAACCCAAACCCACATTTATTTGTGTATATCCTTTTGTGAGTGTGTGTGTGTTTTGGCACGTGTGCGGAGGTCAGATGACAATTTTCAGGCACTTCTCTCCTTCCCCATGTGGGTCCTAGAGATGGGGTTTAGGTCATCAAGCTTGGCAGCAAGTGCCTTTACATGCTGAGCCATCTCACCAGCCCAAGCTGTATACTTTAAAATGCTGAATATTCAGGCCAGGCATGATGGTGCATGTCTTTAATCCCAGCACTTGGGAGGCAGAGGCAGGCAGATCTCTGTGAGTGAGTTCTAGGCCAACTGGAGCTACGGGGAGACCCTGTCTCAAAAAGACCGAAAAAAAAAAAACAAAAAACAAAAAACCACACACACAAAAAAAACCCAAAACTGAATATTGAATTACACTTTCATAATTTTTAACTTAAAAAAAATGGTGGGGGAGCCTAGCCCCTCATTAAGCCACAGTGATTAGTTCACATTGGAAACCATTACATGCTGTGCTGTTACCAATGTCCATCTGTGACCACATCTTGAAGACAGAGACTAAGTAGACACTGTCATGTAGCCTGCTATGGCCTCATTGCTGAGTCTGACCTGCTCCCACCCATCCATTTTTCTCAGGGAGATTTTAGAGCCATATTGGGCCTGGGGTGGAATCTGTTCCCTTACGTTGACCTCTCTGTTCTTGTCTCAAATCATAGGATCAATTGCTATAATGTGTTTGGGGCCCAGTCCCCATTTGGAGGCTATAAGATGTCGGGGAGTGGCAGAGAGCTGGGCGAGTATGGCCTGCAAGCATATACCGAAGTGAAGACGGTGAGTAGGGGCCCATGAGCACATGCAGCCCCCTGGCCTCTCCTTTGGGCTGGAGGGCTTCAGTATCTATTATTAGCTTCTAGTTTTAATCCAAAGAAGCCACAGAAGAGGTGAGACTTACTGTGTAGGGTCTTGACCCTGACTGGGCCCACACAGTAATTTTTTGTGACTTGGTTAGAGGCCAAGGAGTTGGTCAGCCTGAGCGAAGGCAAGACTCCAGTAGGCAGAGGCAGTGAGAAAAGCATGCAGTGAGAATCCGGCAGGCAGGCAGCAGGTACAAAGGGCCACTGATGCTGTGATTTTACAGTTCTACTCACAGGAATGTCGTCTAGGAAGTCATCAGAAACAGAAAGCAGCAGGGCTTTGAGTAATCACATTAGCTCTGGAGGACCGACCTCAATGCTTAGTGCCAAGCATCTCTCCAACAGAGTACCACATACTATAAAATGGCTTGTTAGAATGTTTGGTATGGAAAATGCTCATCTTTGAAGGTAAAGAAGCAGGATACCAAGTAAAATATATGTGGGAAGAGCCTGGTTTTAAAACAGTAGACTCACAATAGCTAACTGCTTAGGTCCAGGGGTGTACCACACCTGGCCTTTCTCTGCTGTGACTCTTATGGCATAGCCCGGTTTCTCATCCTTAGCATTTTCTCTGCCAGATGATTCCTGGGGGAGGAGTGGGGCAACCTCCACAATATTGAATGTTCAGCTGTCTCTTGACCTCAACTCTCACTAGATGCCACTAGTGCCTAATGACCCTCAGCCCCCAGGATAATATGTATCTAAACACTGCTAGATATCTCCTAGGGCCCCATTTGCCCTTGGTTAAAGTCTGGTAAGAGGAACAGGGTGTGATGTCCTACAGTGGCATCCTGATTGCTTTGACTAACCAGCTGCCAAAGTGATGTCAGAAGGATGAAAAGGGACCCTGGCTTTTTCAGGGAAAGCCTACCTGCACCTTCCAAACCCCAGGAAGTGTGAGAATTAACTGCTTCTCTGAACCCCTTACAGGTCACCGTCAAAGTGCCTCAGAAGAACTCATAAAGAAGTATCCCAGCTTCCCTCATCCTGCACCCAAAAGCCCAGCAAGGTCACAAGGAAGAAAACAACCCATACAGACTGAAAAGAGAAATCCCTTCACCAGAGTCTCTTGCCAGAAAGCTGGAATTCGAGTTGATAAACAGGGTGGGCTGGTGGGGAACAATGTCTGTAGAGAGCTTTTCTTAACTGGGCCAAGGATATGGCTCAGGGGTTGAGCACTTCCCAGCACTGTAAAACAAATGACCAATAAAAAAAAAATACACTGATTGACTGCAGTAACACTTCTGGCTGCAAGGTGGGTTCTTGAAGAAGTAGATTCCAAGCCTTAGCTCTGTTACCCTGCTGTAACCTGCCCTTTGAGGGGAGAAAAAGCCACTGTCAGAATCATCTTAGCTTTGTGGTAACCACCAGCACCTTGGTATTCTGGACTAAAATTCATTAAACATAGTGCCGCTTTCAATTCTTGGGTGCCTCTTCCTCCATGTCACTATCCCAGGGGCATGCCTGTGCTGGGTGGAAATGTCCCCACAGCTTGCTAGTGTCACAGTATACCTTGTTCCTCTCTTTGAACAGGTACCCTTGGTTCTCCCAGGTAATTTGCAGGTATCTCTGGCTGTGCTGTGCTCCCTGTGGTGGCCCTAAGTTTAGACACTGGCCCCTGGGAGGAGAGTTAGCCAGAGAGAGACATGGATACCGATAGCTGTTTCCATTTTGAAAGTTCACATTAGCCTGTCTCAAAGGAGACTGAGTAGGTGGCTGACTCCCATTTGCTCATTTTCTATTTTTTGGTCTCTTTGAAACATTGTCTCCCTGTACCCCCAGCTGGCCTGGAACTCACTATGTAGACAGGCTGGCCTTGAACTCACAGAGATCCACCTGCCTCTGCTTCCTGAGTGCTGGGATTAAAGTCGTGTGCCACTATGCCCAGCCTCCATTTGCTCATTTTCAGTGCTCTCCAGGTCTGTGCCTTCAGGAAACGTTTCCAGTGCAGAGCACAGCCTTTCAGCCATGGTTCGGCAGCCATGGTCAGTTCCTGAGCAAAAACGCAATTTTCAGAAGTCACTGTTCTCCCAGGCTGCTGTGTGGCCACCCTGGGGCAGACTGGAACAAGATTGTATGGAGAGGTGGATGGGCTAGCCCTGACCTCACACCAGGGACAGCAGCCACCTGGGAGGCATTAAGGGTGGACCTGATAGAGATTGCCACTGGCCAGAAGAGGAGTTTCTTTAGAGCATGAGGAATGTGGCCTGGGGGCTGCTGGGGCCACAATGCAAAGGTGAGTAAGACTTACAACTCTAGAAGCCCTTGTTCTGCTGAGGGCAGATGCTGGGGTAAAGACCTTATGGTCTCACTGAAGGACAGATAAGGCCTCACGGTGCATGAGGATGAAGCTCTTGAAAAGGGGGCCTCAGTTATATTTGCCTTTCTAGCCCTCCTGCTGGGAGGTTCAATTTTTGGAGGTTTTAGATACCCCTGGGTTACCAACCTAAAACTTTTGCCCTGTGTATAGATGGGGGAAATTGCACCCTCCAATGGACAATTGGATCCGTACATGGTACTAGATTTATATGTATACATACTATTGCTTCCTGTATACAAATACCCTTGATGTTTAGCATAAAAATTATCAAGAGATGATGCCTGACATGGTGGCTCACACCTATGATACCAGGACTCCGGAGGCAGAGGCAGGCAGATCCTGTGATTGAGACCAGCCTGATCTACATAGCGAGTTCCAGACCAGCCAGTGCTACATACACTATGGCAAGAGTGTACTCACACACAAATAAATACATATAATTTTTAAAAGCCACTAACGGCTGGAAGAGTGACACACTGTAACCCCAACATCTGGAAGACTCATTAGAGGAAGCAGGAGGAGTGTCATGAGCTTAAAGGCAGCCTGGGCTAAAGAATGAGACTCTTGGGGCTGGAGAGATGGCTCAGCCATTAAGAGCACTGACTGCTCTTGCAAGAGGACCTGGGTTCAATTCCCAGCACCCACATGGCGGCTACAAACCATCCATCCTTAACTCCAGTTCCAGGGGAATTCGAAGCCCTTTTCTGGCCTCCGTGGCATTGCATGACACAGGTGCACTCACATGCGGGCAATACACCCATACACATGAAATAAAAATAATAAAATTTAAAAAAAAAAAGAGACTGTATTAAACAGAAGGAAGGGAGGAAGGGAGGGAGGCAGGAGGGCAGGCCACTAGGTAGCCTTAGATGGTGGTACAAGCCTTCTTGGGGCTGGCCCAATCACCTTGTGTGTTAAACATAATTGTGCTTTAATATTGTCTGTTACTGCTTCAGAGAAACTTGGGTTAGGAGCAATGGAAGCCCTCTAAGAGTCCAATTAAGTGTGAGAACCAAAATGGAGCCTCTTTATTACCAAGAGGTAATAAAGCTGAGAGTCTATGAAGTTCCCCTCGGCATGTTGGCCTGAGAGTGACCACCACAGACGCTGAGGGAGCCATGAGCGTCCTACCATAATCTGGGTATGGTGGCTTAAGCCTGTAATCTCAGCAGGAGGCAGGAGGATCAGAAGTTCAAGGCCAGCCTCAACTACATAGCAAGTTCAAGGCCAGCCTAAACTGTATCAAAACAAAACAAAACAAAAAAACCAAAAGGGCTTTGGCAAGAAACTCTGCCCAGCCCCTGTTTGACTGTGGACCACTTGTGTTATTAATCCTTGTGAGCAAGGATTATTGTTGCAAACTATCTGATATAATCCTCATTTTTATATTTAAAAATTTCCCATTGGGCAGGAGAGATGGCTCAGTGAATAGAGGCACCTGCTGCACAAAAGTGAAGACCTGAGTTCAATTCCACAGTGGAAGGAGAGAGCCGACTCCAAAATGTCCTCTGAAATCCACGAGCCCCCCACCTCATCATATACACACAATAATAATAGTAGTTATAATCATCATCAGGATAATAATTATAATAACATTTTAAGGGATTAGAGAGATGGCTCAGTGCTTAAGAGCACTGGCTTGCCTACCACATGGGTAGGCTCTGGTTTTAATGCTTGGCCCTCAAAACAATCAACAATAGCAAAAACACCCCCTTTTGGTTCAATTGGTAAAGTTCTTGCATTGCAAGCACAATGACCTGAGTTCAATCCCCAGAACCCAGGTAAAAATGTCAAGCATGGTGTCATATACAAATCTCAGCACTAGGGAGGTAGAGACAGGCAGAGCCCTAGGGCACATTGGCCACCAGTCTAGCCTAACTGGTGGTCTCTAGGCCCACCACACTATCTCAAAGGCAGGGGACAACATTCCTGAGGATCACATCCAAGGTTGTCCTCTGGCCTCCTCATACACACACACGCACACATGCACACACACACATACACAGAGAGACATGTACATCCTCCCAGTACCATCCTCCTCTTTGGGCACATCCACAGTTTGCTTTTTTTTTTTTTTTTAAAGACAGGGTCTCCTTATAGCCCCAACTGGCCTGGAACTCATTCTGTAGACCAGGCTGGCCTTGAACTCACAAAGATCCACCTGCCTCTGCCTCCCAAGTGCTGGGATTATGGGCATGTGCTACCATGCCCTGCTCCAAATGAATATTCTTTAAAAAAAATTATTTATTTTGTGTGTATGAGTGTATTGTCTACATGTAAGTGCTGTGCACTGTGTGTGTAATGCCTAAAGAGGCCAGAAGGGGGCATCAGATCCCATGAACTGGAGGTAAGGTCTATTGTTAGCTGCCATGTGGGTGCTGGGAATCAAACCCAGGTCCTCTGCAAGAGTAGACAGTGCTCTTAACAGCACCCAATGAATAGTTATTCTTTGGAGAATCCTTTCTGAGTGTTGTCTTAATTTAGGTTGACACTACTTTGCTGTCTCTCTCACTGGGTTTCTGTGTTCTGACCTCCATTTTAAATGTTTTCTTTCAGTTCACACATATGTAACCCACAAATATTAGTTAAGAATAAAAGTCTCAGACTAAACCCACAAGTGTGGGTAGTCAAGAGCTGTCGGTGAGTCTATAAAATCCTCCCACTACCATGCTCCATAGTAAAAAGGAGATAACTCACATCCTAAGTGTTCAACATAGCTGCTAACACTCCAGCCATCACATCAGTATTACAGGCAGCAGAATGGTGAAAAGAATAAAAAGATGGGAGTCCTTGCCCTTTAAAGAGATGACACACAAACTGCAGCACTTCCACTTACATTTTCTGTTAGTGTTTATGCCTCACCATGACCAAATACCTGAGCAAACGAGCTAAGGGAGGAAAGGTTTCTTCTGGCACACGGTTTTAAAATTCTCAGTTGCTCATGGTAGAATTTTCTTCGTCTGTGGTGGCAGCTTGTTAACATGGCAGCAGACAGGAATCAAAGAAAGCAGCTGGACCCAGGGATAGCCCCACAGCCACCAAAATAGGGACAGAAGCTGGGGATCATGCATTCAAAACATGAGACTGTGGGACATTTCAGACTCAAGCCATGACATGCATGTTTCTTTAGATAAAATGGAGAAAGGTGGTCATATCTGTACGAGGGAGGTCATAGACTGATGCCAGTCAGCTGGGTATCAGTGGGCTTAGAAGCTGGTTTTTTTTTTTTTTTTCAGTCTGTTTGAGACAGGGTCTCCATATAGTCCCAGTGTAGCCCTTCGTTTCAGTTGATGCAACATGTCCCCTCCACCAATTCCATGTTTGAGCGATGGGATGCAGCCAAGAGCTTAGACCAGAGTCATGTGGTCGGTCCACCCCTCTGGTGAGTAGTGGAGCCTCCACTTGCCCAAGAAGGAGACTGCAGTGTGTTCCCAAAGAAAACTAGAGTTACTGTGTGAAGAAGGGACCATGGGACCTAGGGGTCCCTGGCTAGAAATTGATGTCATGTCATTGCAGATCTACTGCAAATAATGCAGCAGAGAACTTGATGGTCGAGTTGGGGAAAAATAAAAAATGTAATTCTTGGCTCTAGGCATGTGAATCTGGCTCAGTGTAAGACAATGGGGTCTTTAAGCCAAGGAATAACAAGGCTTGATGAGCCCCCTGCAGCACTGTCTTTGACACCCTAGACACATTAATCCCCTTGCATTTTAGTGACATGGACCTAATAGGACCTTAAGTAGCTGTCTGAAGTAAAAACAAACTTCTCAGGTTATGAGCAGCCTAATCTCTCAGAGTATCTGAATGTGGGTCAGTCACAGGAGTATTGGGTGTAAAGCTGTTGTTTGTGTTTAGCCTTGTCAGCAAGGCTAAAAAGGAAATACCAGGCCTTTGGCCTAACAAAGGACAGCAGGC